TGGTCAGTGAGCTCCCACAGGGGGAGCTCTGCTCAGGCACAAGCCAGGCTGATGGCTGCCAGTACAGCGGTGGTGGTGGGAGCCTCTCCTGCCTCCTCAGCAGTGCTAAGGATGTCCGACTGCAGCTTAGGCCTGCTCCCTGCTGGCAAGTGGACGTCCCCCAAGGGCTCCTGGGCTGCCAGAGGGATGTCTGACTGCCAGCTTAGGCCCAATCTCCCAGGGAGCAGGCCTAAGCCAGCAGGTGGTCATCCCCCGAGGGATCCCACTGCGAGAGGGCACAGGTCGAGCTGAGGGACGCCCCCCCCCCCGAGTGCACAAATTTTTGTGCACTGGGCCTCTAGTATTTAATAAAATAAGAAAATGTTCTATATATTGTTTTGTTACATAGATGTATATAATTTTCAAGACACATTGAACTGAATATTTAAGATCTGCATTTCATTGTGGGAAAATTATTAAAAATGAACCAAAATAAAATAAAACACACACAAAGAAAATTCATTTTTCCTTTCTGTAGTTGGTGCAGAAATTTATTTATACTTTCCTAATTGTTACAGAGAAGCAGCTGTAGATTGCTGAAATTACAAAATACTCCCAACCCCTCTGACAACAGCCTGAGACATGTAATCAACAAAGACTACCTGGACACTATAATGCTCTGAGAGGCTAAATATATATGTATAACTCTGAATGTAAAGATAACAGCTACATATAATATGAATAAATCTCACAAAGATAAGGGTGTGTAAAAAAACAGATACAAGAGAATATGCTAAATTATTCTGTTTACATAAAGGGCAAAACAGAGAAATCTAACCTGTACAGGCAGATGTCAGGTTACCTGGGTTTTTTCAGTTTGTGACAATTCATCTAGCTCTATAACTATGCAGGTGCACATGTTTCTATATATTGGTTACTTTATTTCATTTTGGTTCTTTTTTTATTGAAGTACTAGTGGCCCAGTGCACGAAATCCATGCACATTAAAAGGGAATTAATTAGAGGAAATATTGTAATATCGCTATTTGCCCTTTCTCTATAATAGAAGTGTCAGAGATGAAAAAAAATTAGTAAAATGTATATGAAAATCTCCCTCAGTCTGAGGTGCACCCCGGGACCCAGAGTCAAGTCCCCGCCCACCCGCGCATGCCTCAAAATTGTGCGAGACCCAGACCCGGCCGGCCCCACTCCAGTCAAGCCCCGCAGGGTGGGGGACACAGCCTCAGGTTCCACATCAAGCCCTGCTGGGCAGGGGGCATGGCCTCAGGTCCCCCGGCCTGGCCTCAGGTCCCCCAGCCCCAGTGCAGGGGCATGAGGGCGGGAGGGTGTGATGACCATTTGCATATTAGCTCTTTATTATATAGATAATTAAATGCAATGGACTGTCAAAAATTTATAGTATTATAGTACTGTGAACGCCCACAAAGTACTGTTTTTATTTTGACTTAAAGAGACAATAGCATTTTAAAATAAATAAAGTTATTAAATTTACCAAGAAAACTTTAAAAATGTTACTCAGATACCTACCCCATCTGATATTCTTTGCCTTTTTTTGTGAATCTGAGTTTCCATGTGATACTATTTTCTTTTAGCATGAAGACCTTCTTTGAGCATCTCTTGTGCTGCACGTCAGCTGCAGACAAGTGATCTTCACTTTGCCTCTCTGAGAACGTATTTATTTTACCTTTAAATAAACCAAACTTAAAATTTTATTTTTCAATTAGAGTTTACATTCAATATTATTTTGTATTAGTTTTAGGTGTACATCACAGTGGTTAGACAGTCATATACTTTATAAAGTGCCCCCACCCAATGTTTCTAGCACCCACCTGGCACCGTCCACAGTTACTACAATATCATCGGCTATATTCCCTCTGCTGTACTTTACATCCCTGTGACTATTTTGTAACTACCAATTTGTACTTCTTGATCCCTTCACCTTTTTCACCTTGTTCTCTCACCGCCCTCCCCTCTGACAATCATCATTCTGTTCTCTGTATCTACATTTCTGTTTTGTTTGTTCATTTATATTGTTCTTTAGATTCCACATAAGAGTGAAATCAGATGGTATTTGTCTTTCTCTGACTGACTTATTTTACTTAGCATAATGCCATTTAGGTCCATGCATGCATTCCCAAATGGTAATATTTCATTCTTTTTAATATGACTTTACTTATTTTTAATGGATCAAAATTACTTACTTGGATTAATCAGGGAACCCACAGAACTGGCATGGAATAGGTGTTGGGAGGTAATCACAACTTAAATTGCAATTAGAATTGCTTTAAATTCATTTAATTAACTTAGTTTTTAAATTAAATGTATTGGGTGACATTTGGTTTGTGAATGTTTGCATGAAACACACAAGATTAGCAAGGCTTTTCAATAATCAAATAGTTAAAATATCGTGGTAGACTAATTCCATGATAGAGTTTTCCTGGAAATGTTTCCTACGAAAGGTTTGGAGTCTGGAGAAGAGAGGAGCCTTTCTGGCTGAGCACTTCTGGGCATCAAGCTTGGGTTCCCTTTAAGTGACATCTGCCCTATTCCACCTGCAGAGCAATTCCCAACCTCTAGGAATTACCAGAGCTTGGTTCGTTTTCCTGAGGAAACTCTAAATAAACTCCATACTGTGCAGAGGGAGAATATAACACTCCCTCCCAGGCTGCCCACCTGTGCCCCTCTGGGTTTGCGCTCAGCTCCCCCTGCAGCCTCCCTCACTGTGTCTCCCAGAGCGCAGTAGTACACAGCCGAGTCTGACATTTGGAGTGAGGATTTCTCCAGGTGGAAGGACCTGTCACTCTTAACAAGCTTGGCCTGGAACCCCTGATGCTCGGCCGTCTGGTGCTCTGTTGAGCTCTTCAGGAGGAGAGAGGGAGCTTTGCTGCGATACTGGACATACCAAAAAAGGTAAGGAGCTGAGTAAGTGGTCTGGTAATTGCAGTTGAGGATCACAGACGCCCCCTCGGTGAGGGTAACAGGGACTTCTGTCTGGGTCACTGAGTCTCCATTGGTCACTCCTGAAAAATAATTATTTTGTTATGTTAGAAATGGATAGGGAAGAGAATTTTCAGTCAGAGGAGAAAACTACAAGCTTTCTCCTTGATTATAGGAAAATGAAAATCATTAACATTTAGGATAAAATGTTACTTACTGAATGTTAAGAAGATCACAAGAACTGAACAGGTGGCAGAAAGCATGTTGACAGAAGAAGATTATCCTTGCTCCCTAGAACACACCAAATGCAATAGGGCTAGTCTCCAGCGAGATCTTGTAGAAACTCCTTACCCATAAATAAGAACCCCTTTCTGCACCACAGCCTGTTTTGTGGCTGCATTTACCTTCAAACCACAACTAGAATACAAATGTGAACCACAGCAGAAGGAAGCATCGCCCTCTGCTGGTTATCCTTCAAATTGCACCACAACCATATCTTGGACCTTATTCCTCCAAATAACAGCAAGAGGGGTAGACACAGGGGAATGGGATAGAACCCTAAGATGAAAGTCCTAAACATTCACTCTGTGGGTTCATTAGTATTCTTGGGGAAATATTCATTACTTTCATCATTTCTTGCATGGCAGAGAGATCTATACCTTTCCAAATAATCACAGGCACAACTTTTAAGTGGCATAGTCTGGGGTCTTTCCTTATATATGTCTCCATGGTTCTCATGGGTCAGAGAGGGATCCCTCTGCCTAGAATGTTCTCCCTACTCTCCTCCAGTCCTTTACCTGAATTATTTTTATTCACCCCCTAACACTCAATGCCCCAGACAAAACATTATCTACTATAGTTCTTCTCAAATAATCTGTGGTTGAATAGCCAGTTTTTTCCCCAATCCATCATGGAATGATCTATAATAATAAAAGCATAATATGCTAATTAGACTGGACGTCCTTCCGGATGACCTTCTGGATGAAGCCGGGGCTGTGAGGGAAGCCTGGGTCCCTGGTGCCAGAGGGAAGTCAGTGCTGGCAGCCAGGGGAAGGAAGGCCTACTCTTGCACAAATTTTGTGCATTGGGCCTCTAGTCCATTTATAAAATACAAATAAAATAAATTACTGTGACTTATATTTCACTGACAAAGGTAGAGTACTATAGGAATTGACCTTCCAACCAGAAGCCTAGACAAAATAAATGAAACAATAAGTTTTGGACATTGGACTACAGGTAGCACAAAGATAAGGAAAACAAATGAGATGAGCTCTAAACATTGCCCAAGCTTGTTTCCTAGAGGCAGTTCTAATGCAGGGAGAACTTACCAAAAACAACCTAGCTGTCTCACTGTGTTGGTGAGACAAAAGAGGAGTTTGGGGATCCAGAAGCACCCAGAATTTGCGGATGAGAGCACCAGAGAGGAGGGATTTGGAAAGAGAGAGGTTATGAGAGAGACTGCAGGGGGGTCGCTTTGAATCTTTGACTTAGATCTGCACACACAAGAGAGGCCACTCACTGAGTTCAGGATCCCCTTTTCTTAGGGGTTTCTGGCCCAGATTGGGGGAGCAGCAACCTTACACTTTTATTCTTTGAGGGAACCTGCATAGGTAACCTGGTTCTTGACACACTGTCTTTTTACTTCTGTCACATCATTGTTTTAATCCAATTTAGTATCTGCTTTTAGAAAGCCAGTTTAGATGCTTACTATTATTAGCCCAGCTATCTTCATTCCAGAGGCATGCATATGGTATTTAGCTGCCTCCTATTTATTTGTTTTATTAAGGAATTTAGGAATCTCAATTAAAGGTACTGCTTGCTCAGTGTCTGTTGGCTTGTTTGTCTCGTTCCCTTTGTAATTATCTGTGCTAGTAAAACAAACCCAGCAGAAAATTGAAAAGGGCCATTTTCATAGTTTGTTCTTTCTCTAGGATTGGGTTTGCTGTATGCAAAGTCTGATGTTGTGGTAAGAAAGCAAAACATTGTTCCCAGCTTCTATAAACCGCGTAAGGCATTTGTTATTGCAGACTGCTGTGCTATTTTCCTGCACAGGCTGTCAGCCAGCGGCTGTGCTGTCCATATAATAACAATGGCTGTGACTAAATCAGCTGGACACAAAAATAATTTTCTTCAAATAATAAATATTCACCCTTAGTAGATTCTCTCACCAAATTGAAATTAACTTGGTTTTGACTCTTATCAAAATTAGGCCCTTAAATAGAGTGACCATGCTGGCAGGACTCTCTGACTAAGCAGATCCCTAGCTGCTCTCAGGCTAACAGGCACGCTTGGGAAACCCTAAGCGCAAGCATTCTTTCTGGAAATTTACAAAGTGGTCTACACTGTGTAAAGCTCTGTAAAAATCGCATAAGCCAAAACAAGACATGATTCCTATCTCAGGTTGCTTTCAGTCGAGTGAGGAGCTGATAAGTAAAACAGATCTTATCCCTAATCCTGCCTATATTCCCACTAGCTCGGGCCCAGGGGATAGCTGACACATTTATCACTAGGTGAATAAAACCTGTCTGAATATGTTACCTCCGGTGTTTGGATTTATTTTTGTCCTTTCATCTCCCTCTTCCTTTCTGAGGCCTGTTTACCAACATGTTTAACCCCCAATGCTCAGAGGTCTAACACCTACTGGGTGGGAGTCCAGAATGTGAGGGAAGGGGCAACATTTACCTTCAGGTTTGGGTGTCCAGACACATGCCCAGGGCTTTCTTACTTCCTTCTCGTTTCATCACACTAGTTCTCTGATGAGCTTCCAGAAGGATTTAGTATTGTCTAGCCTTTGGAATAAATAAACTTCAGGTTCAAATTGATATATCTTAAATTTTGTAAAACAGTCTCAAAAAATAAAAAGTCCTCCATTTTGCCTGAAAGTTGAGTTACTTAAGGAATGGCCTCTGGAATTTGGTTTATGTGAAACTTGATTAAATTGTGGTTCTTGACACCTATGGCCACCGAAAGGTCCGGAGTAGGCCGGGGTCATGCACCTATGACATGAGGCCATCATGTATCAAAAGAGATTTTATTCCGGGCACCTGGGTGCAGGTGGGCTGAGACCGAGAAAGGCATCAGCCAAGAGAGCAGGGAGAGATAGGTTTATATTAACTTTTGCTGGTTGTAAGCCGCTCTGCTGACATAAGAGTCTGGTCCATCCTTGTTTCCCCCCATGCCAGGTGACTTCTGGTTATCTGAGCTATGCTGTGCTCAAGGCTGCAAGCTTTCTGCAAGATATCTGCTAAGCACAATAAGTTTTTCTCTGCCCTGTATTATTCACTTTAACCTTTTCATTCCCGTCTTAAAGGGTATATATAACGGAAAAGAAGGGGGAAGGGGTTGACTTTTCTCTTTGTCCGCTTCATGCGTGGGAGGGACTGTCGTGGATGCCTAAGAAGTTAAGTCAGGGCTCAAGGCTGCAAGCTTTCTGCAAGTTATCTGCTAAGCACAATACGTTTTTCTCTGCCCTGTATTATTCACTTTAACCTTTTCATTCCCGTCTTAAAGGGTATATATAACGGAAAAGAAGGGGGAAGGGGTTGACTTTTCTCTTTGTCCGCTTCATGCGTGGGAGGGACTGTCGTGGATGCCTAAGAAGTTAAGTCAGATTATTTCCTGGGATATAGGCCTGTAGGGTGCCTTTACCTGGGTAAGGACAAACTCTTCTACTTTCTGAACTAGGACTTGTAATCTTGTTTGTATAAATTTGGTAACTATTCTGAAAATGCAGGGCCTAAAGAGGAAGAGTAGGAGAAATAGTGTTAGGGGGCCTAAAAGGGGTAAAAGCCAGGTTAATTTGGGCAGAGCTTCTTGTAGGCTGGATCGTATGGAGTGCTCTATGCTGTCCTGACTTATTTCCTTGAGCCATTGTGTATTCTGTAGAATGTGCTGTGTTCTTTCCTCTATTTGACCTGTAGAGTTTAGATAAAAACAACAGGAGGTGTTAGCAACTAAATAAACTCCTCCCTCTTTGGCTAAGAGATAGTCTAGAGCCGTGGTGAGCAAACCGCGGCTCTCGAGCCACATGCGGCTCTTTGGCCCCTTGAGTGTGGCTCTTCCACAAAATACCACATGCGGGCGCGCATGTACAGTGCGATTGAAACTTCGTGGCCCATGCACAGAAGTCAGTATTTTGTGGAAGAGCTGGTATTTTGTGGAAGAGCCACACTCAAGGGGCCAAAAAGCTGCATGTGGCTCGAGAGCCGCGGTTTGCCGAGCCACAGTTTGCCGACCACTGGTAGGGCAAGTAGGGGGACCATTTTAGGGATATAAGAGATCTGCAAGATTTAGAAGCATTACGAAGGTAAACAGATGTGATCTGAAGAGAAATCCTGTAAATTGCTCTGGAGCCAGAGGTCTGTATTGAATTCAAAAATATCTTGCACTGTTCAGATGGGATAGTCTGGGCCAGGTGGGGGAATGTTGTCACTAATAATCTGCAGGAATGTGGAAGTCTGGGTATATAATTTATTAGTCATTTGGCTGATATGCGAGAAGGGCTATTTTTTTTTTTTTCAGGAAGGCTAGTGGGAAGGTAGGTTATTCTGGAGGCAAGGTGTTTGTGTGTGTGTGTGTGGTGTTTTTTTGTTTTTTTTTTAGTTTTGCCCTTTGCTAGGCATCTGGAGCTTTCTGCTCTGGTGAGTTTTTACATCTGTACTTGGCCTGTTGTCCTTGCTCTGGGGGTCAGGGATGATGAGGTCGGGCACAAAAGGAGGTTGTGATGGTATCTAGGGGTGTTATTTTCTGAATACAAATAGGGCTTGTAATCTGGTAGAGGCAAACTGTTTTAGACATTTTAGTATTATTGGGGTAAAAGTTAGGACAATAAGAGTTATGACAAATGGTCTGGTGGAAGGAAAGAGATTCTTAAATTATTTATTTGTAAGTGTCCTTGGTTTAGGGAAGATAGAATTTACTAGATGGCTGTGGATTGCTGTTTTATTATTTCAGTCTCCCTATTCTGCTTGTTCTGGCTTACTGGCCTGTGTCATTTACAATATTTAAACCTTAATTTTCCAATGATAATTAAAAAGTAAACAGCCAGCATTTTTTAGATTGACATTTATGAACAATCTTTAACAAAGCATAACAGTTTTAAATTTACTTTATAGGTTTTCTGTAATAAAAGCTAAAATTAGGTGAACTTAAAACTTGTTGAAATATTCATATGTTTATCATTTAACCCAGCAATGTTCCAAAGCTTTTGAGTTGTCAAAAACTTTGGAAAATTATGTATAGGCATATGAGGCTAGAGAAAAGGTGGGGGGAGGCGGGCAGAGCAGGCCTCTAGCCGCTTGGATTTAAAACTCCTTAGAGATAATATGTTAAGGTATAATGAGTTCAGCTTTTAATAGTAGCTGGGCTGTTAAGTGTTTGTAGTTTTGCAGTAAAGAAAGTTGTTCTTTGGGAAGGGGTGTGTGTGTGAGTGAGAGGGCACTGAGGTCAGAGAAGTTTTCAGAGCATTAAAGGGGTGAGAATGCTGGCCTTGGGATCTAAAGGCTGAATTCATGCACCAGTGGGGTCCCTCAGCCTGGCCTGTGGAATCAGGCCAAAACCAGCTGTCCAGCATCCCCCAAGGAGTCCCGGACTGCGGGCCTCTAGTAGTAAATACAGGGTTTGGTGTTATCCATATTTTCAGACATCCACTAGGGCAGTGGTCCGCAAACTGTGGCTCAGCAAACTGCGGCTCGCGAGCCACATGCAGCTCTTTGGCCCCTTGAGTGTGGCTCTTCCACAAAATACTGACTTCTGTGCATGGGCCACGAAGTTTCAATCGCACTGTACATGCGCGCCCGCACATGGTATTTTGTGGGAGAGCCGCACTGAAGGGGCCAAGGAGCCGAATGTGGCTCGCGAGTCGCAGTTTGCCGACCACTGGTCTAAGGAATGGCATGGCTTTGTGAGGGTGAGTGAAACTGAGGTAAGTGACTGTTGTTTGGGACAGCTGGGCTTTATGAGGGGATGTCAGTACTGTTTCAGTCTGGCAAGAAGAGTGGATAAGAGGTTATTTAGCAAGATGCAGTGTAGAGATGAGGTGGTACCCTGGGGGAGGGCGTTGGCCTCAACAATACTTTGAGGGTTCATGCACACAGTGGAGTAACCTGCATAGGAGATATTGTCTGAGATGTAGGCACTCCCGTCAATGAACCGTGTTTGTGCCTCTGCAGAGAGAGGACTGTCCGTTACGTGTGGGAAAGGGGAACGGGAGAGGTCCAGGACCTCCATGCAGTCATGTGTCAGTGGGTCACCTGCCCCTGATGATATGGGGAGTAGGGTGGCTGGGTTAAGCGAGGAAGTGGAAGCTATGGTTACGTGAGGTGTTTGGAGAAAAAGAGTGTGTAGTTGTTGAATATGAGAGGGAGAAATAATGTTCTGTAGATGTCTTTGAGATCACATGTCTTTAATGTTATGTGAAGAGTATACTGTGACCGGACCATGGAGGGTAATTTTCAGGCTCTCTAGAGTTAAAATAGCTGCTGCTGCGAGATGTTTTAGGCACGAAGGCCATCCTAAAACAGTGTTGTCTAGCTGCTTGGAGAGATATGCAACTGCCTGGAGGGTGGGCCCCTTGTGCTGCCCCCAGAGTCCCACTGCCATTCCCTGTCTTTCAGTAGTATATAGACAGGAAGGTTAAGACATGTCAGGGAGGGTGAGGGCAGGGGCCCAGAGAAGGGCCTCTTGGAGAGTTTTGAAGGGGGAGGATATAGGGGTGGATGGATTTAGGGGTTCATGAGGGTCTCCTTTGGCCACTTGGTATAGGGGTTTTGCTAAAACAGCATAGTTGGGGATCCACTGACGAAAGTATCCAGTAAGACCTAAGAAGGAGAGGAGTTCTTGTTTGGTAGTCGGAGTAGGAATTTTAGAGATGAGGACGACACGGGACGGGGGAATGCCCTTTGAAAATGGGTCAGGGCAAGTCCTAAGTAGATGACTTGAGAGGTGGTTAGATGTGCTTTTTAGGGAGACACCCGATATCCCTTGTTAGCAAGAAAATTGAGTAAGAGGTTGGTGTGAAGTTTTGAATCCTCCTCGAAGGGGCTGCTGAGAAGGAGATCATTAACGTACTGGAGGAGGGTGGAACTGCCTAGGTCTAATTCTTGTAAGTCCTGAGCTAGGGCCTGTCCAAAAAGATGAGGACTGTCTCTAAATCCCTGGGGTAGAACGGTCCAGGTAAGTTGCTGGGAGCGTCCCGTGTCAGGGTCAGTCCAAGTGAAGGCAAAGAGGTTTTGTGAGCCAGGATGTAGGGGGGATAGTAAAAAAGGCATCCTTGAGGTCTAGAACAGTATGGTGGGTGGTGTTGGTATTATCAGGACATTATCATGCAATGTGTGGAGCACCATGGCTAGTTCTAAAGCACCTAGTAGTACTTTCCTAAATAAAGGGGGATTGGTAGCATGTGTTAGGAACTCAAAAATAACAGTGGACTAGGTGATCCTGTGAGGCTAGTCAAATTTTGGAATGGGCTATTCAACAACAACTTCCTAATTAAACCTATACGCGTTACAGATGAGGAAACAGATTCAGAGAAGTTAACAGCTTGCTTAAGGTCACATAGAGTATTTGTGTAACAAGCTCTAAAACTCCAGTTTGCAGTTCTTTCTGCCTCTATTCCATACTGGATACCACTGGAAAATGGTATCTCCAATAAAGGCAGAAACCACGACTGTCTTGCTAACTAATGTTTCCCTAATACTTACCATAGAACTAAAGGTCTTATGAACTAATGGATAGACTTGAGCTTATCAAAGTGGAACACGTGTTCTGATAGATGAAATATCGGGGAGAAAGTAGCCCTAGTTAAATGACATGTTAATTCAGATTTGTTTGTCTTGTGGATTAGCTTATATATTACAACCAATAATTTAAATTTTTACTTTAAGGTTAATTCATATTGTGAATGGCAAATGCACAGATTTTTAAAATGAAATAAGACTACATTAAAGTCGGTTTGTATTCAACAGAACTTTTGACCTCTACCTCAGAGAATCTCATGCTCCTAGATTTTTTAAAGAGAACCTAGAAATTCAGGTTTTAATGTGATGTCTGATATTCATTTATTTATTTAATTGTTAATCTTCACATGAGGATTTTTTTTTCCCATTGATTTTTTTTTTCTTTTTGTGGAGACAGTGGAAGGAAGGAAGAGAGAGATTGGTTGCCTCCTGCACATGCTGACCAGGGCCAGGGATGAAACCTGCATCCCAGGTACATGCCCTTGAACAGGAACCGAACCCGTGACCCTTTGGTCTACAGGCTGATGCTCTAATCGCTGAGCCACACCAGCCAGGGTGATGTGTGATTTCTTAATGTTGACAAGTAACTCAGAGGTTTTTAGACATAAGTGTGGCATTGAAAATGAAAATCCTTGCTCCTTAGCACCTAGTGTAACATCTGCAAAAAACATATATTTGGACAGGAAGTAGGCACTGGGCAATACCAGACAGGCCCTGGTTGCCATGCAGCTGTCATTCTGACCCTGGCTGCTGGGGGCCGGGTGGGGTCGGGGAAGGGAATGCAAAAGACGGGACAGGTTGGGACGAATTCCCACTTTAAACATCTCTCTCTGTAGGGAGCTCCTACACGAGAGCAACACATTCTGATGCTTTATAAAAAATCACGATAATGTCACAAAAAGGGAGGAGCCAAAGAAAGGTAACTTGAGGAACATTTCAAATCTATTCTGTTGTGCAAAAGGTCGTTTGTAGGATTATAGAAAGAAATCTAAATTAAATAATTTATTCTACCTCATTGAGTAATGATACTATTTTTTAAGAAAAATCAATGAAAGGCATTTTTATTTCAAGTAGATCAAAGCATTTGACATGAGAGTTAATTCATAAATGTATGAATGATTCTGAAGTTTTAACAACACATCAGTGGAGTCACCTATTTGGTCTAAAGATAACTAGATCATTTTCCCATCTCAATAAAACCAACAAAAGATTACATTTTTCTTGTTGCCCTTTTTAAAAATAATATTTAATGTGCTATATATTCTATCTTAATGTGTTCTAAAGAATGAGAGATCCCTTTGCTTTTAATGGATGATATATCTACACATTCTGTATGAATTGAACTAAAGTTTCCTTGCCAGCCCCCCACCTGTGTTGACACAGCCCCTGCTTCATCCTGTCTGTGATGGAGTCCCTCCCCAGGGCTTCTCTCTCATGTTGATGATTTTGCGGGGCCCCCACAGGCACCCACATCACTGTGGCATCTCTCAAAGCACAGAAATACACCGCTGAGTCCCTGAGCTGTGAGTCTGTGATGGTGAGGCTGATGGAACTGGCTGATTTCTGGAAGTTCAGAGAATATCGACCCTCTGTGGTATTTTGCTCTTTATAAGACTCCTGGTGAATAAGAAAAGTCATTTTCCCACTTGGTGGTTGTTTGTACCAGAACAAATAATAATTGTAACTGCTAACTTCATATGCACAGTTCAAGGCCACAGCCTCCTTCTCCACCACAGAAATTGCAGACTGGGCTTGAATTACTTTCTGGGTCATGCTGGATCCTGCAAGAAAGAGAAAAGAAATAGACTGTAACCATGAGGGTAAAAGGGATGAAGTGGCTTTGGACCCAGCACTCTGGTTCCATTGCCCATTATCCTCCTTTTAAACTTCCACAGACAACAATGATTTGCTTCTCCCACAACCTCTGGTACTGAGAGGAGCTTGAGCACTGTGTTTGTGCCATCCTTACCAAGACAGATGGAGGCTATGACTGCCTTCAGCACACTGGCAATCAGCATATTGGTAGGTCTTCTCTTGAGTAAAATGTCCTATGTTCAATCTCAAATCCAGATCTTAATTCTGAACCCTGTGCTCAAGAGGTACAGGCAGAGATCCTGGGCTGTGTGATGCTCTGCCCCCCTCCAGGAAATAGAAATGGCAGATATAGCACAAGTTTGCTATATGTTGTGTCACACACTTCCTGATAGGTGGGAAATGCTAGCCTCCTGAACTAGACCTAGTTTATCTAGTTACAAGTTATAGGACTAGAAATAAACAGTGGGAAATGGAATCCTGTTCAGTTCATTCCCCTTTGATGGAAAATGTGGGACCTTTATAGAATACAATTTATTATGCTATGGTGAATACAATGGGTAATGTGGTTATGTATCTTTCGGTCTTATTTATGTCTCCTTCTCTCCCAAGAGAAGCAATGTAAAAAGCAATCATGATGTTTTCACTTTCTCACAGGAAAGCAAAACTTTTAGTCTCAGCCTTTGTTTCTACTTTGCATGGAATCCAAAATATTTACATGAGAAATATTTTGTTGTTAATGAATGATTTCCCATCATGCCTCCTGAGTCACAAAATGTGTCCTGTGTGTGACATGTTCAGTAACAGCAAGGATAAAACATTTACTGTGTGTGTAAACAAAAATTCAGAAAAGTCTACATTCTACTAATTGGCTAATACAGGAATTTCTGTTATAACTCCATACATACATTTCTGAAAATCATCTTGCTCTCTCAAACCACCCATACTAGTTATGTAAAAATTGGGATAGGAAAAATCCTTAGACTGTACAATGCTGTAACAAGAGCATTATAAAAAAAAACAATAGAAATCCTATTAAAAGTATCCATTGGCATTTGTCCCTGGTATCACAGCCAGTAATCTCTTTGTAGCCTTAAACATTGGGACTTGTGCTTCGCCTCTGTAGATATAAGTTCATGAGGACATAGGCAAGGTGCATCAAAATTTTAAATGTAATTGTTCTTTATAAATCAATATTTTTAAGATCAGAGGTGGAAATAGCCTCACAGTCTTTTTTTAAAAAAAAATGTGTTTTTATTGATTTCAGACAGAGAGAAAGTGAGAGGGGAAAAGAGATAGAAACATCAATGATGAGAAAGCATCATTAATCAGCTGCCGCCTGCATGCCCCCTAATGGGGATCGAGCCCACAACCCAAGCATGTGCCTTGACAAGATCGAACCTCACTGTGCTGGTTCATGGGTCGATGCACAACTACTGAGCCACACCAGCCAGGTGTTCCACAGTCTTTTTATCCGTGTTCGGTTTCACCAGGTGGCTTACCTTGAAAACTCTAGAAATTATTGAACCCACTAAAACAAACTCTGCTCACACTAAAGTAGAATTGAAACTTTTTACTTTTATTTTATAATGAGAAACTTGCCCTGATAGTACTTTAGTTCAGCATAAATTATTCATGCACTTAGAAAAATCACAGGAAATCAATGAAACTTCCACACCATTTTGACATCATACCTGTATTTACTAACTGGGTAATCAGGCTCAGTGAGTAGACATATTTGCCATATCAAGTATTTTTGTTTGTATTTGGAAAACATAGTCTCCATTTCCTTGACAAATACCTGTATGTTTCCTGATAACAGACACTGAGGCTCACTGTGGCTTCTAGAATAACCAGGCTGGTCCCCTTAAGCCCCATGTGAGTCCCTCTGGGTTTGTGCTCAGCTCCCCCTGCAGCCTCCCTCACTGTGTCTCCCAGAGCGCAGTAGTACACAGCCGAGTCTGACATTTGAACTGAAGGTTTCTTCAGGTGGAAAGAGCTGTCTGTCTTCACAAGACTGGCCCGAAAACCTCTGTTGCTCACCTCCTGATTATCCGATGAGCTTTTCAGGAGGAGAACAGGCTCTTTGTTTTGATATTGGACATACCAGAAAAAAAAAACTGAATATGTAGTCTGGTAAGTGCATTTCAGGGTCAAAAATGCCCCCTCTACGAGGGTAACAGGGCCTTCTGTCTGGTTCACTGAGGCTCCACTGGTCCCCCCTAAAAAAAAAAATAAAGGTTTTGTTACATTGGCAGTGAAGAGGGATGGTCTCCAGTATGGTAGGGATTAAAAGTTATCCTAAAACCAAGGAATAGAACATCTTCAACATCTTGAATAAAGGTTACTTACTCAATATCAACAAGATCACAAGTCCCAAGCAGGAAGGAGACAGCATGGCTGGTGGAGAAGCAGCAGCAGTCTTGGTTTGTAATACTGAAGCTGAGAGGGCTGTTCCTCTACTCTCTTGGTCCCTTATTGGAATAGTCTTGGCTCAGGTGTTAAGCAAGACAAACTGCCCTGCAAGTTCATGTCACAGGCTGAAAAAAAGATGTGTTCAGAAATGGAAGAGGTGTGTCAAACCACCACCCAAGGGCAGCAGTGCCCTCTCCTGGTTTCTCCTCTGTCCTGCAGCCTGCTTTGAATTTGATATTTACCTTGGAGTGGAGCTTAAATTGGAGACATAGAAGGGAAATCCTGGCTGGGGTGCGAGGTAGAGCTCTAGGAAGGAAGCACCAAACACCTTCTGCACGCTTCACAGTGGTGTAGTAGGTGAGACAGTGTGCAATTCCTCAGGGCCCTCTTTAAGGTTCAGGGGAATATGGCTCCTTTAAGTCTCCCTAGTCCCAGCATCTAATGTCTGTTCACATCAAGTATTAAGATAGTTTTAGGCATCTTAGTATATACCGAGAGTTGAAAAAAAGCATGATCTAAGTTCTCTTCTTGACATATTCCCCCGCAGGTCCCCTTGAACCAGGGGATGAGCCCCTCTGCTTAGAATACTCTCCCTTCCCTCCTCTGACTTTGCCTAAGTAACTTCTATTCATTCTTTAAGAACCAATTGACATGCCACCTTCTTGTGAAAGCACCCACCCAGCTCTTCAGGCTGAGTTAGTGCCCATCTCTTTTCCCACTTTACTTGTATACATATCATCACTGTCATTACTGTATATTAGAATCATCTGTGTCCTGTTTTCAAACTAGAGTTGGTGCCCTTGAGATCAGGAACTTAATCTTATGAGTCTCAGTATGCAGTTTCTGAAAATATACAGTCCCTTAGTTCATAGCTGGTGTTCAAAAACTATCTGAAGAGTGAGTGAATAAATGAATTAGTGAACATGTCTGGTAAGTACACTTGTCTTTAAAAGACAATTCTCATACTGACTACTTTTTAAATTTTATGGTACCTTATGTACACAAAAATTGGAGTTAAATATAAACATCTTGGGCTCACAGGTCTTATATCAAGACCAAAACTCCAAGTATTCTCATGTAAGTCCTATACTCAGGGATTGGCTAACTTTTTTTCTGTAAAAGGGGAAATACTAAATTCTTTAACTTTTGAAGTCATTTGGTCTTTGTTGAAATTACCCACATCTGCTGTTACAGCACAAAGCAGCCATAGTCAATCACAAATAAGTGGGCAAGGCTGTTTATCAATAAAACTTTATTTAAAGAATACAGGTAGCAGGCAGGTTTAACTTGTGGGCCATAATTTGCCAACCTCTTCTACACTCCAAGAATCTATCCATAATCCTCCAGAGATCTATTAACTCCTGTCTGAGAAACTCAACTATCTTTTTATTTTTGCTCTTTCTACATTATTATCATAGTCCTTTGAGAAGGCTTGAAATATAGGAAGTATATTGAATGAGTTACTAGGTAGAAAGAAGGAAGAAGGAGATTTGATGATCCTAAAGGCTAAGATACTTTGGTGCTCAGAATCAGGGGCAAGAAATACAAACATGGTCCCTGCCATTAAGGAT